GGAGCACCAGCTGGACCGCTTCCGAGTGTCCGAGGTGCAGTGCATCCGCTGCCGCCTCCTGCAGAAGGTGCGTCCTTCTGGGAGGGAGGGAGAGGTGGGAATGGGATCGCAGCATCGCAGGGGCGCGGGACGGGGTCTGTTGGAAGAGGCCGCAGTGGATCGCCTGGGCCCACCTCTCTGCTCGAGCAGGGTTACGGGCTGAAGTTGTGTCAGGGGACGTTTAGGTTGGATCTCAGGAAAAGTTTTTTTCCCCCAGAGGGTGGTCGGGCACCGAACAGGCTCCCCAGGGCAGTGATCATGGCACCAAGCCTGACAGAGTTCCAGGAGTGCCTGGACAACGCTCTCAGGGACATGGTAGGATTGCTGGGGACTCCTGTGCAGGGCCAGGAGTTGGACTCCATGATCCTTGTGGGTCCCTTCCAGCTCGGGATACTCTGTGATCCTAGAGCACATGGCACAGGATTTCGTCCAGGCGGCTCTGGAATGTCTCCAGTGAGGGAGACTCCACACCCTCTCTAGGGAAACCTGTACCAGTGCCTGGGAAAGATTGTTCTTCCTCACGTTCATGCGGCATTTCCTGTGCATCAGCTTCTGCCCACTGCAGATCCCCTCAGTCATGTCTTGTCACGGCTGAACAGGCCCAGTTCCCTCAGCCTTCCCTCACAGCAGAGGCGCTCCAGTCCCTTAATCACCTGCACAGCTCTGCGCTGGACCCGCTCCAGGAGCTCCGCGTCTCCTCTTGTCCCGAGGCGCCCAGAGCTGGTCGGAGCTCCAACTCCAGCTGTTCCTCTCCCCTCAGGCCCAGCAGCGCTGCGAGGGCTGTGACAGCCTCTTTGGCGAGTACTACTGCGACATCTGCCACCTCTTCGACCGCGACAAGAAGCAGTACCACTGCGAGGAGTGCGGCATCTGCAGGTGCGGGCGGGCGGCCGGGCCCCGGCTCCTCGGGGAGCTGGCCCTGCCCTGACAACCTCTCTCCTCAGGATCGGCCCCAAGGAGGATTTCTTCCACTGTTCCAAATGCAATCTGTGCCTGAGCCTGAGCCTCCGAGGGAAGCACAAGGTGAGAATACGCCGCTTAACTCCACGTCTTAAAAAAATAACACCCCTGAAAGCCGGTTGGGCCTCAGCCCCATGTGAGGCCACAGGAACAGGGGGAGCAGTGGGTTCTGCTCCTCTAAATTCACCTAAAAGCAGCACAGAGGCCACCAGTTAAAAATACAAGAAATTTGCACGTGGGAACTTTACAGTTTAGAAAAATACAGATATCTCTACAACAGAATAACTTTTTCTTCTCTTTTCCATTTACAAAAGTGCATTGAAAATGTCTCCAGGCAGGATTGTCCGATATGTTTGGAGGTGAGCTGCTGCTTTTCATCTCTTGGGTTACTGTGAGGCCCTATTTTTGACTGTGTTTGAATTAATTTTTTTCTCTTTTGTCTGATACTTGCCTTGAAACAGGATATTCACACGTCTCGTGTTGGAGCCCACGTTCTGCCATGTGGTCACCTTCTTCACAGGTAAAGCAGATACCTGAGACAGGGGAATAGCTGCTGCCTTGTGTGGGGTGTTTATTCAGCAGCACTCTGTATCAACTGCTTACAGCTGGTTTCTAAGGGACCCAGGTGGTGGGGACCCTCTGTTTCACCAGTAAATATTTTCTTTAGAAGGGTTGTCTTCCTTCCGCAGTTAATTTTGACGATGGGAAGCTTTCCTCTCACTTGCCCTCAGGATGCTTTTAACTTCTGGTTTGGGGATAGCTGTTTGCCTTTTTCCTGTGTTCAGTCCAAGTCAGTGTTACCAGTCAGAAAAAATTGCATTCTTCTTACTGAACTGCTCGCTGTGTTTCCTTTTCAGAACATGTTACGACGAGATGCTGAAGGAGTAAGTATTTCTGAACATCTTACAATATTATCATAGTCGAAACATATTACTCCAGGAGGCAAAGATCATGTTGCCAGTTCTGTACCAGATAACTTAAAGTTTATTCCTGAAGAGATAAAGGGCATTTAAATTCCAATTCCGTTTGCAAGAACTTCCTGTTTCGTGGTGTCTGTTTGACTGGTACAATATGAAACTCATCCTTTTCAGTGGACTTGTTTCATGGCCTCGCTCCATCTTCTGATTTAGACATTTTTTTCCCCTTCCTGCCAGGGGTTACAGGTGTCCTTTGTGCATGCACTCGGCGTTAGATATGACCAGGTACTGGCGCCAGCTGGACAACGAAGTGGCACAGACTCCCATGCCCACAGAGTACCAGAACATGATGGTGGAGGTAAGACATCAGCCTTGCACCCGTGCCTGGTTTTGGTGGAACTGTGCCTTGGAGTTACTGGCAGTAGAGGGCACTAGGAAGTTGTCCTGGATCAGAAGTCAACCTGAGGGGTAGGGAAGGATAAGGAAATGTCATGTGTAGGCTGACAGTATTTCTTAATTCCTGCTGCCAAAGCTTCTCCCTCTCTTTTCTCCGTGCAGATCCTTTGCAATGACTGCAACGCCCGCTCCACGGTGCAGTTCCATCTCCTGGGCATGAAGTGCAAGAACTGTGAGTCCTACAACACTGCCCAGGACGGACGGTGCCGGCTGCCCTTGGAGGAGCAGTGACCAGGACACTTGGCTGGATGAGGAAGACTCTTGCTGCGGAAGAGGCTTCCCAAAAAAACCCAACACTTGTCAGTAAAAATGTGTTCCAAGTTCAAGGAGCCCTTGGCTGCGTCAGGGAAGGGAGAGCTGAGGAGGAGAGCAGCGTGATGAGCAGCTGACGCAGCAGAAGATGTTTTGGGGGCAGCTGAAGGTGAGGGGAGGTGGAGGTGCAGCTCTTGGGGCTGCAGCTGCCGGGGAAAATGGGTCGCTTTGAGAGCAGCTTTTTTGGATCAAGCTGACATCCACAGAACCGTGTGTTCCTTCGGGATGACGTCTTTGCTCCAGGGCCTCGCCACGAGCAGCTGGAGAGGGGGAGCTTGCTGGAATTCCATCCTTTGGCTTCATGTGGTGACACCTGTGTGCACAGAATTCCCTCAAAACAAAGCTGCCCTGCCTGCCGTGATGAAGGGCCCGAAAAACCGAGGTGCAAGGCCCCCGTTTTCCCCTGGTCACCCGTCCTGACCTGCTGCTGTCCCTTCACTCAGGCTCCTTTACCAGCTGCAGTCACTTTTACCCCCATTTCTTCCTCATTTCTTCCTCATTCACTGGGAAGGGCCAAGGTGTTGTAGGGTTTTAGGCATGTACACAGCTCGATACTTTGATTTTAAGTACCTGAAGTGAAGCACATCCTTGACATCGGGCTGAGCCTGAGATGTTCACTGAAGTAACACGAGTTCAGAGGCACTTGAGCAGTGCAGGGAACAATTTTTGAGGTTTTTTTAACAGTAAATTTCATTGTGGGGAGAGAATGGAGGGTGGCTGACTGCCTTAAAAAAAAAAAGGCAAATAAAACCCCCAAACCTGCCCTTCTGCATATGATATCCTGCCTGAGGTGTTTTGCAGTCTTAAATGTCACAGAAAGTTCTTGATTTCTGTGAATTTCACATGCAAATAGTTTACAGTAATAAGATATTAAAAAAGCTCAGTTACTCTTCATGTTACAACTACTCCTTTTGTATTTGTTCTGTTGTAAAACAAGAGCTTTTCTTAATCCCACAGTGCCCCTTTCTGTATGGAATATTTAGGATTTGGATGTTAGCTGTTGTAGCTTGCCTTGACTGGAGTATCTTTTTCTGGAGCACTTTTCTCACTGCTATAAATAAACCTAAAATAACATCTCTATTAAAATAAACAAATTACACTGTGTGTGATGCGCTCTCCTTTCACACCCGCACTCCCTGGAAATTCCCAGGCTGAGTTTAAACCATGATTCACTGCTGAAAAATGGTTGGATGTGGGGATGTGTGAGGCCTGGGACGCTGTTAGGAAAAACGAGTGGGTTTAGCAGCTCCTGTGTTTTCGTGTTTTTGTGGTAGAAGCAAGACTCCTGCTGCTTTGGAGCACCCTCTGGATGTCTGCTGGCACTTGGTGACTCCACCACCTTCTGGGATGGAGACCTGCTCCCAGGTAAGCCCACCGGGGCTCCTCTCAGCCTGCAGGAGTTGTCATCAGAGAAAACTCAGTAGCCAAGTTGCCTTTGTCTTGCTAGTGGTAAAACTGTGCTGGTCAAGTCCGCAACCAAGCAGGTTTGATGCTAAACTGGAGGCTAATTTTATCCCAGCTGGAAACATTCCTGTCTGCATTCCAACCACAAGAGGAGGCTGAAAGGAAATGTATAGTCGAGCTGAGCTTTGGAAGAGCAGCTCCCTCCCCAGCTGGACTTTGGTGTTGGGAGGGAAAATGATTCTTGGGGGTGGGATCCAGGTGATTTTGGCCTTTTACTCTCCTGCTTTTGGTGTTTGCCTCTGGAAAGTGCCGGAGGGAACCTGATGCCACCAGCCAACCCCCTGTTCCACATGTTTATCTGGGCGCTGAGCCCTTGACTCCCTTTGCCAGGGAATAAATGGCACAGCAAAAAAAGGAATGGCATTTTGAGGGGGTAAAGATAAATGGAGCAGATAAAGACAGCGAGGAAGTGCTTTATGGGACGGAAGGTGCCGCACGGAGCTTTGCTGCCCTGTCCCGTGGAGATGCAACCGCCGGGAGCGGGAAGGATGCTCGGATCAGGGCAGGGTGATGATCCTGGGGTGAAGGCAGCTTGGCTGTGGGAGCTGTGGGGAAGCTCCCACAGCTGCCTGCCACCCAGAATCCCCCCTGCCTCACCAGGCAAGGGCAGAATTGGGAGCAGATGGGACCATCGCTGCCTTTTGTGGGAAAAATGTGGTGTTCCAGCAGGCGCAAGGGCCGCAGGCACACACAAGGTCACGGAGCTATTAATAAAGCCAGGGCCCGCTGGAGTGTGTGAAACCCGGGAGAGGGACTCATGGACACAGTGAGTAGAGCAATGCGGGACCAGGGGGCTCAGACAAGCCCTCCATCCCATGGGAATGTGCCGGGTCATGGCTCAGGAGCCGGGGGGAAAGCAGATCCCCGATTTTGGGCTGGTTTCATGGCTCTGGTGTGGGTTTGTGTTGCTCCAGTAACATCATTTGGGGTGGCAGTGGGGGTGTTTTGTATTAAACCTCCAGGACAGCCGTCCCCTCCCGGACAGCCATCCCCTCCCGTGGCTTTCCCGGTGCCGAGGCCGCTGTCTTGCCCCTGCCTGGCTGAGGAGGAGCCATCTGTTTTTAAATTTCCAAGTGGAAGGAACGCAATTAGGGAAAGGCTGGTCATGTGGTGCTATTTATATCTCAGAGGGGCAGGGGAGCATCTGTCTCTGCAGCTCCGAGCTCAGCCCAGGAGTGTGCTGGGAAACGGGGCAGTTTCCTTTTTTTTTTTTTTGCTCCTTGATGGTCCCAGTTGGAGTTGGATCTCTGAAACCTGAACCTGTTCCTTTATCTAACAAGCCTTATTGCTCCTGGGAGCTGCAACCAGGAGTACCCCTGCTAACGAGTCCTCGCTCCTGACTCCAGTAATTCCGCCGAGAGTCTGGGGAGATGACGCTCGGAAGCATGTGGATGATATATGGGAATACTCACAAATGAGCAAAACAAGGGCATAATTAGGGAGGCCAGAGGGAGTCTGGAAGCAGTGATAAAGCAGCCTGCAGCTCTCTGGCGAGGGCAAGGCAGGAGACCTGGGGAGGGATCACGTCATCCGCAGCGCCGCTGCTGCCAGACTCCCGCGAGGTCGGGGAATGGGATGTTCTGCACGGAGCTATGTGAACTATTTTTTTCCTATATAAATAAAATATCTCCGAGGTGAAATGGAGCCAAAGATGGGGGGAGCTGGGGGGAAGAGGGGGGAGTTGAGAGGAGGTGGCATTGAGCCAAAGTTGGGGCAGCCTTTGGGAAAAGTGGGGGTTTGCTATTTCTGTAAATAAAACAAGCCTGTGGCAGGGTTAGCATCATTGTTTTTGAAAAGAGAAGGGAAAAGGGCTTTTTTTATGGCTTGTCCTGGTTGTCTTTTCCCCTTCTTCCCTGCTATAATAGTGTGGGACAGGGACCCCTGGGTAAGCCAGAGGGTCTGAGGTGGGAATGTGAGAGGGGTGTTTGCAGCCTTTGCCTGGAACACAGGCATCCCCCCTCTGAGGGCATCATCCCTCAAAACAAAGTGCTTTTTCCACTTGGCAAATACATCTGATACTCTTTAGGCTGTCCCGTGCCTTGGCCCGTGCTGGCAAACAGTCCTGTAGATGTAAACACGTTATCCATGTCCACATTATCCATGAAACAGGGCAGCTGCATTGTGAATAAGGGCACTGGGGATGGTTTCTGGTCCCAGGCGCTTGTGGGAAGCCAAGGAATCTATTTTCACTGTAGGATATCCCCAAAAATATGTACAACCCCTTCCTTGCACTGTAGGCAAGAGAGAGTCATTCTTTTTGACCACCCAGGCACAGGGTTCATCAGGAAAGCTGACACCCCATTTCTGTTCTCTTTCATGAAAAGGGAATTTAATCCCTTGAGGGTTATATATTTTTAAGTAAAGGTGACAGCTTTTCTTCTCCCTTTATTCCCTCACGGATTTTAGCAGCAGCATTTGAGCAAAGTGAGTGATTTTTTTAACAGTTTGGGGAGGGCTTTTTTTTTTTTTTTTTTTTCAATGCCAGCTCTTTGCTGTTGCTGGACAATAATGAGCTGTAGATCACAAGGAGTGAGGGAGAACCTTGTCTGTGGGGTTTTGAGGAGGGCAAGCGCAGCATCACGACACCCAATTTGCTTCAAGAGAAGAAGGGTGCTGATTTTTTTACTCAGTTTGAGTTTTATTTTAACCGGGGTGGCCTAATTCGCTGCTTCTTGGGTGCACAAAAGGTGAAAGGGAGTTTTGCTCATCCTGAGCATCCTCGGAGCCTGCACTGCCCTGTGTGTGCTCCCAGCCCCAAGAGTTTTCCAGACTGGCTGTGTTTGGAAGGTTCAACAACCATTTCCTGCTTCTACCGAGTTTGAACTAAAGGAGGCTGAGGAACGCTCAGTATTCCCGGCAGAGGTGAAAGGATGGGCCGCTGAACAGGCTAAAAAAGGCCCGGGAGGAAAAGGAAAATGCAGCATAATTGCACTTCCCTTTGGGAAGCGGAGCTTGGAGGAGCTGCCCCCGTTTCTCCCGACCTTTCCAGGTGGCTGTTGTGGTGCCGGACGCATTTGTTACACTCACTTGATGAAAATCAGGAGATGATGCATCTGCTGCAGGAAGCAATCATGGGAACGCCCCAAGCTTTGATGTTTCCTGGGATGCTCCATTTAGGAGTCAGGGCGAACAGCAGAGCCTGTTTGCCAGCCCGTGCTGGGACGCCCCAGAAGTTTGCAGCGTCATTTAGCGCTGGTTTATTTATTAAGGTCACGCAGTCTGAGGGCTTTGCTTTCCACTCCCAGGGAATTTAGCCAGGGGGAGAAGTGGCTGAGCATCCTCTTCCCAAACCAGCCCTGCCATCAGCCACCCACAGTCTTCACGCACTAAAAGCTGAACACAAATTGGAGATTAAAAAGGACACTCCGCTGTATTTTAGCAGCCAAGATTTTTAAGGATTAAAAACAAAGGTGTGGAGCAAGCAGCCACGTGTGTGAAATGGGTGGTCAGTGCAC